AGTTCGAGACATACCTGGCTCAAAATGCAAAGGCACAACCTGAGAAAATGTTCTTGTACTTAAACTTCAGGAATAAAACACCCAATGGTGTCCCAAACCTGATTATTGACAAAGATACAATCGAAGAAGATCAAGAAAAAGCAGAAGCACTGGCAAACTACTTCTCCCAAGTCTTCACTCAGGAGTCATCAGTGCCTATAGGATCAGCTCTGGCTGCATCAGAAGAACATGGGATAGATTCCGTTGACATCGACCAAGGCATCGTGCTCAACTGCTTAATGAAACTAGATGCAGGGAAATCAATGGGTCCTGACAATCTTCATCCAAGGCTTCTAATAAGGATATATATTCTCATTTTTTACATGAGGGACGCCAGTTTACAGGCATCATCAACTCGATAAGTTACACATAATATTAATAAGCATATTTAGTAAAGATAATATAAGAAGATACATTTTTTTCCCTAGCTATGTAGGGTGCACCAATTTTATAGGCATGCATAAATATTGTTTTAATAATAATATATTCCTTCCTGTTTATGCAGGAACATACCTACTGTACGGGCACGGATAAGTTGTTATATAAATTGCACATGATTTGATGTATAATGGATTTACAGTTTGGTTGTTCTTTCTGACATTAGAGTCAGTCGGAAAGGCTTCTATAAAGTCTGTTTGTGTAGCACATAAAGAGATATAGAGATATATTGTTTGTTCTCAAGGAGCTATCAGCCCACATAGCCGGCCCCTTGACCACGACCTTCAAGCTATCTATCCTAAATGGAGTGTTGCCACATGATTGGAAAGACGTCATAGTAACCCCCATACACAAAGGAGGATCAGGACAAAACCCTTCAAATTACAGGCCTATCAGTCTCACCAGCACTTTAATCAAGACACTGGAAAGAATTATCAAGAAAAGCATCATGGCTTATCTGGAAAATAGCAGCTTGTTATCTGAAGCACAGCATGGCTTCCGGAGGAACCTCTCATGCCTGTCAAATCTCCTGACTGAAAGAGAAAGCTGGGTCAAATCAAAGGACAACAGAAGACCCGTTGACGTCGTCTTCATAGACTTCAGCAAAGCCTTTGATAAAGTACCTCACAAAAGACTACTCATGAAATTGGAAAGTCTTGGTATCAAAGGCAGACTACTAGACTGGCTCAGGGAATTCCTCATAGATAGGAGGCAGAGGGTTAGGATCAACTCAAAACTCTCCTCCTGGACAGCAGTAAGTAGCGGAGTGCCACAAGGCACGGTTCTCGGTCCTCTCCTATTTATCCTGATTATCAATGAGTTACCTCTGCTCACCGACTCCCCTATGGTCCTATACGCAGATGACTTAAAAATTTGGAGAGAGCTGAAGAGCAACAGTGATACGTCCACCTTGCAAGACGACCTCAACAAATTGTTGGAGTGGTCTGTTGAATGGATGCTCCCGATCAATGTGGCAAAATGTGCAACCATGCGCATTGGACAAGCAAGCACGAGCTCCTACGAACTAGAGGGAATAACACTTCCATCAGTTCAGACTCACTTGGACTTAGGTGTCATAGTTAGCCACGACTTAAAAACTACAGCACACTGTCGCGCGGTGGCTGCACGTAGTTTCAGGTCCTTATGGGCGATTCGCATAGCCTTTACAAGAATTACCAGAGATATGTTCACCTCCTTATACACATCTCTGGTTAGGTCAAGACTGGAAAACTGCATCCAGGCCGCCAGTCCTTGTCTAAAAGGGGATTCACACATTCTAGAAAGTGTTCAAAGGAAGGCAACACGTATGGTTCACGGCATAGCTAACTTATCATACGAGGAAAGACTAGATAGTTTAAATCTCTTCTCACTGTCATACCGTAGGCAGAGAGGAGATTTAATCACAATGTTTAAAATTTTAAATAATGACTACGGACCTGACCTATTCTCTCTTTTCCTTCCCACCAGGTCGGAACACCTTAGAGGACATAGCAGGAAAGTTCAAAAGCCAAGGAGAAATCATAATGCTGTTGAGTACTGGTTCTCGCATCGAGTCATAAACTCTTGGAACCGACTCCCAGAAGAAGTGGTTTCTGCAACCTCAACTGGTTCCTTCAAGAAGGGTTTGGACAACCACAAAAATCTACTAGAAAAGGATTGACATAGGCTGCAAGCCTTCTATCCTCAACCAATAAATCTGAAATCTGAAATTACTGGAATGTTGCAGTGTGCATTTAACTCAGTTAAAAAATTTGGCAGAAAACATTGAATGGTGTAAGTGATTGTAAAACATATTGCAGTTTCTGCCCATTTGTGAACACTAATCTTCGCTTGTGTCTATGCATTCCGTTGACTTCCAGCTATCAAAACACCGAACAAAAGTGCGGAAGGATGCACGAATTCGATATCAACCACATTCTTCGGTTCCTGCAACAGTAATAGGTACTGCACAATAGCTGATGGAGAAATTTGCGATCGAGTACAGGTTTTCGCCAAGCTGCAAAGAAATTTATCGAATGACAGTCGTCGAAATGTATGCAAAGCTTAGTCGGTATGCAAGATAATCATTGCACGAACCATATACTTAAGCGTCCTGTCACACAAGCAATCAGTAAATGCTCAAAAACAGTATCGAAAAACCATTTTCATACAAATTCATCCAACAGGAGCAAAATAAGCACCAAAATCGCGTCAACTGCGTTTGCCTGGACGACTAGCTCCAACACAAATCAACAAAACCGCGCATATGGCGTCAAGGTTAAGCCAGACACGCCACTTCAAATGGGGGATACGCCATATCAACGCCCGCATGGTAGGTCATTGATAAAAATCTAAACCATCAGTGGTCCTAGGATAGAACCCTGCGACACTCCTGATGACGAGCTGTGCCACGATGATTGAACTCGACTGACCTTGGTGCAAAATTGCCTGTCAGCAGAGTCCAGTGTATCCCCTAATGGGGTTGGCTTACCCTGAGGCGTGTGGATACCCCTGTACAGCGTGCACAATTTTGCTGAACTAATGTTCACACCTAATTTATTGCACAGGTTGGATCACTGTTCCTGATCAAACAGGGCCTGTTGTTCAAGCAAGCTATCCTTGCTAACAGGAACGTTAAAGAGGATAAGAGAATTAGACCGAATAACCTCAGACTTAGGGTTGGCCTTTGGCCTGTTGTATTCCTTTGCATCGTCAGCGACATTAGGCTTCATCAGGATCTGGCCAGCCTTTTTTGTGTTGCCAAGCTTGCTAGTGGATGCAAGTGATGCTTTTGTAATTCTGTCTTCCCTTGATGTTCTGGGTACAACCTTGTGAATCTTCACCTTGTGAAAATTGACATTTCCAGTCAGTAGGACTGGAGTGCTCTTCTTAGTGTCTGTGTCAAGTTTTGGCAGTGTGATGTTAGCAGATGGGGAGCTGCATGAGACTGTGTTGGGACACAAGAGCATCGTATTGTTTCTGCTATCAGCAGACACCCTTTATGGGACTATGCCAGGGTGAGAAAGTAGACAAATGTACCAAAACCATGGGCATGGATTATTTCTCATAAACTCGTAGTATGCTTTCGGTACCTCTTTGTCACAACGACAGTGCACCCATCGCTTGCAAAAGTTGCATTCAAACGCTGAGTCAGTTTTAGAAACTATGATACTACACGCCTGACATTCATCCCCCTTCCTTGATGATGCCTTCGAGGCCTTAAAAAAATAAAAGTAATAAATAATTATGACGTCTTGAACGTTTCCTTCCAGGTCTGCTGTGTTTCACACACTGGCCTTCAGTTGATGCAGGTGTAGTATGCTGTCCCCCTGGTATTGCCTGTGCCGTTTCAGTACTAAGCTGTGGTAATGCAGGCGTAGTATCAAGACAGACGGAACCTGCAAGAGTCTTTAGGATTGGTATGCGGGAAGGGGTTGAAGTCCCTGGGTTTTTGCCTTTTCTGACTGAAGCCCTTGTGACTACAGAGTATGGTGATGATCGGCTTCGCAACAATCACGTGGTAGACCAACAAGTCTTGTTTATCTGAACGAGTGAGGAAGATGATGCTACAGAAGTGGCGACTGAAGCTTTGGCAGTAGTTTGAGACAGCCGGACTTACCACACAGGAATTCAGTGTGTAAGTAATGGTTGAATTTAATTCACCAGCTAGTGAGATCAGGTTTCCCAAGCGGATAATTGACAAAATTGGTATTTTCCGGTTAGAGAGGAAAAAACACGTCGTATTCAAGGAGCGCGCAGTCAAAGTATTGGAAATAATCCAGAAATATGTTGTGCCATTCTAGAAGAATTCCATTCTTAAAAAAACCTTCCCACATCAAATAAGAGCTGAGTAAGGGGAGAGGACAACCAGGAGACCACCAATGTCTTTCCGGAAGACCTCAGTATAACTGTGCTTGAAGTACCCTACACAAGACTGCTCGTGATATTGGGAAATCTTGAAATCAAGGGCGGCTGACCAAATTCGACTAAGTAATTCCCCATACCAAGGAGATAGAGTCGAATTCGATCCGAAATTCTCTTTCTGGGAAACGGTGCGTGGTGGAGTGCCAGAAGGCACCCCTCTTACTTATCTTGTTTATCAGTGAGTTACCTGAGCTCGCATAATCTCCTATCGTTCTTTAGGTAGATGGCCTAAACGTTTGGAGATAGGTGAATGGTGTAAATGATAGGCCTAGTTAGTATATTAACTCACTGCACGGTGGTGGCTCGAAATTTGAGATCACCATGGGCCGAAAGTTTTCTAGAACCACCAATGATATTTCCACCTCTTTATGAAAATCTTAGGTGGCAGAGAGCGCTTGCCTTGAAGGCGATTAATATCTTCTAGAAACGGTTTAGAAGAAGGCAACGTGTATGATTCGTGACATAGCCGATTTACTATACGAGAAAATACTTAAGTAATTGGCATGGCAAGGGAATGAGATTCGATGGTGATGGGCGTAGTGTATCTACTCCTTTTCTTAGCAGCCGTCAGGTTTTTCTCAAGGGATATAAAATGAAAGTTCAAAAGCCAAGGAGGAAATGCATTTTTTTGAGTACTGGTTATCCCACTGAGTCTTAAACTTATGGAATCGACTCCTAGAAGATATGGTGTCATTGCCCACCAATGACTTGTCCGAGAAGGGATTATAAGAGCAAACAGACCAATAAGAAGAGGATGTACATTGAATTAAAGCCTTTTCCCCTCAAGTAAACTATCTGAACATGAAGCCTGTTAAAGATGGTTTGTTTAGCAGCACCAAGGGAATTGCACTTAATTCAGTAATATTTTGTAATTGGCGGCATACTGTCAGTCAAATGGCTCGGTATTTCTTCATTAGTTTCGCAGTCGTGCTATGTAAGCTTTCAATGTATTAATAACTATTTTAATTTTTGTGTGTTAACTGACATCCTTTCAGACATCATATTAGCTGGGTTTCTAATACGTACAGTGTGGATCCATATTAATGCATTTGTTGTAATTGTACAGATGCTTAACTTCACAGAAATTGATAAAATAGTGTCATTTTGGTATTTTGCGTCATTAAGTCTTTGAATGAAATATAGATACTCATGCGTGAATGGACTGATGAGCTTATAAGGGAGCTGTTGTTAGCTTTTCATTATTTGCCATAACACTGAATTTAGTGAGTAAGACTTTTCCTTTATCACTGCTAAGAACCTTCTTTATGATTGACTATATTTTAAATTTTTAGACTCAATTTTTAGTCTCCTTGTCTGTTGAACAGTTTTTCCTATGAAGTGCTTCATAGAATAACACGTGTTATTCTCTTTAAAATAAGCATTTGTTTTATGGAGAAATTTGACTGATATCTTGTGGGATACAGTTTCTGTCTGCACCACGGGAAATTGTGGACCTTGTAAAATAGGTAAATCGAGTTCAATGCTGCTTTTCTTTGTCTACCTGCTGAACTCTCAAGCAGTTGTATAAATTTGCATAAAAAGAAAATGATTTGTGCTCCTTGCCATCTGGGTACTAGTATCCAGAAAAATACCTCGACATTTTTGGATCAGTGATAGATAAATGAGTCAATTATGAGAATACATCCTTCTTTAATCGGAGAATACTGTTGATTTAACTACCTTTTAAAATTACCCAGAGTTTTGATGGTACAAATTTTGTCAAAGGAAGTCCCCATCCAAAGACAAAAATCTGAGGTCCTTGGTTATTTTAATGATGGTTACTGTGTCTTTATTAACTGAGATGGCGTTGGCAGTCTAAATGACTAGTATTGCTAGTTATAATTCATTATTTACATCACCTGCAATTCCGAGAAATCTATTTCTTACAGCCAATATGTTGTTTATGGAAATTTTATGCCCTAAATAACTTGTGATGAATCCTGCCTAGCCTCCATGTTTATTAGCAGTAATAGTTAGGGTGTAATGAAGCCTTTTGTTCCACTAAAAATCCAAGGGAATAATAATAGTGACTACATGTATATCCATTCAATGAATAACGGTTAAAATATATTGTGTAAAGTAGACAATATTAAGTTACTGCTCTAACGTTTGTTAATAGAGAGTATTCTGAATAGATGACTCCGCCATTGGAAGTCTGATGCTGAAAACTGAGGATCATGCAATCATGATAATTGTCATATTGTTGTTTTTGGTATGAGCAGTAGATGGAAGTCTGTCTGTCTGTCTGGATTCAACATAGAACTTGTCACCGAAGTGCACCAGTTCGAGTTGCCACGTTCCATATATCACACAAAGGTAGACAAGAAGATGAATGAAGAGAATCAATAGAGTCTGACAAATATAAGAGCGAAACTGAATGGGTAATAGTAGAAAGAAATATGAAAGATTACAGAGACTGAACACATCTGCGCTGGCCATTGACAACGATTTTGAGCCATGTCACCTATTGTCTCCAGCCATTGATTCCTAGAGTCCCGAGGGCCCCAACCCGGAAGTCTGCATCTCCCTACCTGACTCAGTTTAACTGTCAAGGATTTCATGGACTGATGAGGCCATGTTTTTGTTTGGCCACCACTTACTCTTTTCCAACCTGCACCTATATCAGCTAGTAATGCTCGTCGGGGGAGGCGGTGGTTAGGCATGCGCAGCACGTGACCTAGCCATCTCAATCTATGTAACTTTATAGCCTCGTCGATTGGTTTTCCCTCTTTGTTGGGCAAAAAGGGAAGTGAGCAATAGCCTATTCCGTCCACTCTTCGCCAGTTGAAAATCATCAAGTAACATGTGAGTAACAAGTTACATATCCTCAAGCGATTGGAAAACAGATGTACATTGGAATTAGCCCCTCTCTGTGGATATCTGTAATTACAAATCCTCACTATACAATGAAATAGGTTTCTTTTTAAGCCAGCTTTGCACTATTTTTTCTTCCTAAGTTCCAGAACTTGATTTAGTTGACGTAAGGAAGTTCTACTGTCGTTCGGTTCTTCATCTTAATCTTTAGTATCTTGAGTTTTAGAAATGCTCTACTTTTGACAAATACTGAGTCCAAATGCGAATTAGGTTTTCATCCTAGGGTGACGCACTTCCGTTATCTGACTTTTATCTAATCATTTGTGCAAATAATTGCGAAGAATCTTTTCACTTATGTCATATTTTGTTGCAGTGATGGGTTTTGCTTTTGAGACCGCTAGTTAAATTTTTCTCAATAAATTCTAGCATGGTAGTCTGTATTGGCTACGGTTGAAATCAATAACTTACTCGGACATAATGTAGAAACTTCTTTATTTTGTCAATACCTGCTACTATGACCTCTAGAAAAGGTTTAATATTTTAGTTATGTTATGGTGCTCAACGTTAGCGGACATAACTATTAATAAATCATGTCATTTATGTCAGGACTGTCGATTACACAATAGCGAATGTAATTCATTAAAAATAAGCACCAAACTGCTATACAATGGAACCCAGTATTTGAACTCCCCTCCAAACGCTCAATCTTAAGCGAATGAGTAGTATCATAAGCCGCCATGAATTGTGTGTCACGGAGCAGTACAAAAAACACTGGATTGTATAGTTCTGTTGTATGAGGTGTTTATTTCTAGGTGTAGAAATCTTAAGTAAATCATGACTTCGTCGATGTAAATCATGACTTCGTCGATGTAAATTATGACTCTAAGTATTTTATAGCATATATATTATTATTATTGTTCTCTTAGGTTTCGAGTGGAACATAGGGCTTCAAAAACACATCACAGCTTTTCTTTTTTGTACTGCCCTCTTAGCCAGGCACACAATTTCCTATAATCACTCATCTTCTTATGGCGCAACCTCCTCCATTTTACCCTCAGATGACCCACTCGTCAATTCCCATTCGGGTTCCACTTGAGGATATAACTGATGCGTGATGTCGTTCAACGGTCTTCTCAGTATGTGCCCGATCCATCTCCATTTTCTCCTACATATTTCTCAGGCGAAAGGTACTTGGTCGGTTTATTTCCACGAGAGTTTCTTGTTGCTAACTCCTTCTGGCTGACCATTTGAACTTCGATATTGGGGCAGCGCGTGCTGCTGTTGATATAAGTCTGAGACCTGTTGGGAACGCCTTTTGTGACACTCGTGTCAAGATTCTGACCAGTCTGGAAGCAATGACAGGGTTTACATTTGTGTTGAAAATTCGAATCTTGTTCTTTATACTGAGTACAGAAGAAATGAAGTGTTAGAGCCATTAAAAATGTTTCTTTGATGGCTTGTAAACATTTTGTGTAGGATAGTAGCAGTAGTATACTGTTTGTCAAATGAATTATTTTCTAATATCAGAATTGACTTATCTGGTGAAACTGCCACTCAATGTAGTGAGTTAAAATAAATAGATATCTTTATCCACTTAATATATATGTTATTGTATTTTCTTTTTTTTTCTTGATTACTCATTCGATGGAATTCGTAGGAGGAAAATAATATCTAATGATAACACTGAGTATATTTAAAAACTATAAGTAGCAAATGTCATCCTGTGGGTAAAATTTATTTTGATAAAGTCTCACAGTGTTTTATTGTAATATTTACTGTATAACGCTGTGAGACTTTACCAAAATAAAGTTTACACTCAGTGGAATTATATTCTACTACAGCGCACAAGTTGGTTGTCCAAGGGTGACTTGGAGGAGGTCATGTGAAGGGGAAATGAGAGCATGTGGGCAGACTTGGAGCGGAGTGAAAAAGTTGGCAGAAAACCGAAGGCAATAATAATGATAATGATAATAGCTTTCCAAAACTACTTACGATACAGAATGGAATTCTCAGTATTGCATCCAGTTGGTAAATTACCGATAAAATAAAATTCTACATAGATTAAGAGTAATCTCAGTTAGTTTTGACAACAACTTATTAGCATGTCGGTAGCAAAGCCAAAATTAAACAGTGTTTGAAGGTGCTAGAAAAGTAGGTTCTAAGATATTTACTGGCGTAAGCAGAAGAAAGAAACAAAGCTGCACATAACAAAAATGCGAAAGAGAGAAAAAGAAAAGAAAGAAGGAAAACGTTGTACCTATAAATGATATGAGCTGGAAAGACGAGATCCAGTTGTTCTACTGACTATTTAATAAGTCATAAGTTTCACGCCTAATGCTTTCTTTATCGCACAGAACACGAGCTAAGTAGGGTATGGTTTAGTTTTTGTACTTTCTAGTGCGAGCATATAGTTTTCTATATAAGCTTCTGGTTTTCCCTGAAGAGATACAAGGGGAGAGTTGTGAATGAAGAGGGTGGTGTGAGTTAGATAAAATGGATTTAGCCCATTTTTCACATGAGTCCAAATGCCTGTCAACCGGAGTATTAATAAGATGGTTAAGTGGCACTCTGTGGCTTACCCTGCTGACAACCTTCAACATCCTGCGTAATATGGTATAGTCTTTCTTCAGTAGACCAGGAAAAACCAAGGGGCAACAATAGAGAATAATAGCCAGAATACGGGAATTAACGAATTGTAGGAGTAAGGGTTGGGTTGGGTTGGGTTATACCAGAATGTCTTAACTTCTTGATGTAGAAGGTGAGACGGAATATTTTATTAGAAATCATCAATATATGAGACGACCAGGAAAGATCAGCAGATAGAATGACGCCTAGGTATTTAATTTCTGACTTGGTTTCAATTTCAGTGCCATCTGTGTTGCACACCTCGTGAGTGCAAACCACCAGTTTGTTTAGGTCAGATTTGTGCCTAAAGGTGAAATTAACTGTTTGGCATTTGGAAGCGTTTAAGGTGAGACCGTTTTCCTTGTACCATTGGCTGACTTCTGATAAAAAGCCGTTTAGTTTAGTGCAGTAACTTTGACATTTGACAGGCAAAGATACAGTTAGGTCATCAGCATATTTGACAAAATAATGTCGTTTGAAGATGGTAGGTCATGT